AAGAAATTCGGAAAGTTGCCGAGCGAATTGATTTGCCTAATTTTTCAAATAAGGAGGGCAAAGAAGGGGGGGGGCCAAAGATTTCGAATGTGGGGCCGTAGTCGATCAAGGAAATTCGAGATTATTTTACGGCGGCGTTGGGGCAACTTGATCTTGAACAGCGCACACCCGACGGCCTTCAAATCGAATCAAAAAATAAATTTCATCTCGTCGGCGACGTGGCAAATCGCGTTCTAGCACCCCCACCGGCGAATATCCACCATTCGCCTGCAGCAAGCTCCTTTCGCCCAATACCGTCGTTCCTCGTAAACTCGTCCTACCGCGTCCCCGAAAACTCGTTTGAATCGATCCATTCGGAATTCCACGAACCGGCTACACGCCCGTCCCTCTCGCCGGACGTAGTACCTTCTACTTTGATTGGCAATGTTTAGAAGATGGCGTGGCAAGCGAATTTTAAGAAGATCCCACGGAACTTCTGCGCCCGACCACGAACTCGTGGAACGCACGCGTTCAACTTCAAGCGGGACGAAGTTTTCTCATTTTTTTTGCGCCTCCAGTTTCAGAATTCCAAAGAAAAATGATCGACGGCGGAAGTTTTTCAAATTTTACTATCTTGTGATCGCTGCGGAATTCAATTTAATCTTGATATCGGTCAGAAATATTTTGTTTGTTTAACACATTTTACACGGGCCAGGTGTCTGTACGGTTTTCGTATACTGCCGAATGAAAACGGTATCTTTGTTTGCATAGAGCAATGAGTACTTCATGAAATAGCGACTTTTGATGCAAAAATGTTGAAGGAACACTTGATGGTGAGATGCTATAAACATTTCATGAAAGTTTATAGCATGTTAATACAAATCGGAACGACTTTCTGAGATAATGTGTTAAGAGTAGACTGGCATTAAAATAAAAAGCTGAATGAAATAAATAAGTTAACGAGACCTAGAAAACGCATTTTTCGAAGTTTCGTTATACGCTCAGATAAAAAAGTTGATAAACATCAACGTTTAATTCTATTTTCGTCATTCTAAGTAATAGCAAAATTAACAAATAGGAATTTTAGTCATTGTCTAACAGATAAGTCCATCCGTCATCTAAAAAAGATTTAAATCATTTAATCCAATTTTTAAAAAAGTTACACCGTTTTTCAAGCGTATCCAAGTATATGGCCGCCACTGTAAGCGCATCTGATTCGTGTTAAACTAATAAAGAAATCAATTTCAATTAAATAACCCGAACTATGCATATAAACTGTTTGGTTTCAATAAAATTTGTAGAGTTTTCAAATAATTCAAATAATTTCTATTACGTTAGAGTCGATGTAAATTATATGGGTCGTTACCACGTTAATTCAGAGCAAATGGTGCATCTGATCTAACGGAAGATATCGGTAACCCTGTATAATTCAAATGGATACAAATAAGCTAATGTAATTCGAGACCAGCAAATATCAACCTCAAGATGTAAAACAACGAATTGGCAGCCTGAAAAAAGAAATGACTTTACTTTGTTGCACGAAGTAAGAGGTGAAAACCGCGAAGCGTAACCTTGATGTCGAAGGAGTAGCAACCGAACAAGATGATTTTACCACATTGTGGCTAAAAATGAAATGAGACTGAAGAACGCGATAAATCGTTGTGCGATTACGAAGTTACACCGAGCAGCGAACAGTGAAGAAAAATAAAACGACTGGAAACTAGAAAACGAGAATAGGAGAAAAGTTGGCTGCAGAAAATGTTTTTAAACTTGCGGAACGATCCTATTGGGCTAATTTCGCGTGTTCGATAGTCGGGACGACGCTGGTCGGGTTCGAGGCGGGAGCGTGGTCCCGGAGAAATGTTAATGTACACATATTGGAAGCAGCATCGGCCATCGCGCACATGGTTGATTCGTCCATTGCCATAGATGATAATCGGGCCGGCGTTGTTGCGCGGCGTGGCGAAACTCGTGCGAGAGTATTCAAGGTATAGGTGGAAAAGCGAGGAACAACCAATCAGAGGGCAACCTCCCTGGGGACGCGACGTTGCCATGGTTGCGTTCGAACCCTCTTAGGCCGTCTGCTGGATCCCTCACGGCTCGGTCGGGATATGTCGGTTCTGTGGCGTTTCGTAGCGTGCCGCGGTGGTGAAGTCCACGCCATGCCACGCCACGCCACGCCATGCCACGCCACGCCATGTCCTGCCACGCCATGTCCTGCCACGCCGCGCTTCGCTTCGCTTCGTTTCGTTTCGCATTCGCCCATTGCTCCTGCGTCTGTCTTGTTCGCTCCCGCTTCTCCTTGGCTCGCTGTATTCCCTGGATTCGTTGATCGGACAACGAGCAGGTCCGCCGGTGGAATCATTCCTTTTACCCCTTTCACGCTTTTTCTCTCCTTCTATTCGCCTCTTTCTCCCTCTCCTCCGTCTCTTTTCCCTCCTCTAGCACGATTTTTCTCTTGTTTCCTCTCTCTTCTTCTCTCTTCTCCTCTCTTCCTCTCCTCCTCTCCTCCTCTATTCCTCTGCTCCGCTCACGCTGTTTCCCTCCTCGCCGGCTCTCTGTTTCTCTTGCGCGTACTTCGGCGTCTCTCTTCTTGCTTCGTCTCTCGCACCGGCACTCCCGGTTTCCTGCACTTAGCAAGATCAATACCAGCCAACGAGGCTTGAAAACATGCGTCAACATGGTCTTGCACTGTTTGTATGTCCACATAACGCTCACCGCCCGGTTACTACCACCGACGCGAAAGCCCGCCGGCCACTTCACCACCCCCTATCCTCGAACCAGGTGAGGGAGGCCGGTCGGATAGCAAGAGGGTCCAACAGGGTGAGCCAGCGGCACCGCGCGGCCAAACATTGTTCGATAAGGCTGCGTACATATTAGCTCATATAACCGTACGTCACCCCCGCGACTCGAGCAATCATGTTATATTAATTAATTGCGATACACCGAACGCAAGTCGCTTCGACGCTACGCCAGATACGGGGTCACGGGCCGAGGACGAGAGCCACTCGCGACCAGCATCCGAAGAAATGGCGACCGCTGGCGTGTCTCCTTTTTCTGTTTTGCCATTTTCGTGTTTGGGCGATGGGAAACGTCGGGCAACGGGGAATGAAACGAAATGTTGCCATTTCGAGATCCGTAGCAATTTCGTTTTTCAAATTAGCACGGTTCGATGAGGCGCGTTCTAGGATTTTAATTATAAAGCTACGTGAGAGCGAAACGAATCGAATGACAGTCCATGAACCGTTTTTTTTTTTCAAAAATTGCAGTTCTCGTGTCTATGATTTTAGCATAATGTATGCATTGAATTTTAACGAGTCGTAAATTGATAGATGTCAATGGTATATAATTAAAAACCGTTTTTAAAAGTCGAAAATCAACGATTGATATGTTGACGAAAAGATTTCACTCTGAAGAGACTGGACAATGAGACTAATAAAACTAATTAATCTAAAAAAATTAAGAACAAGAACAGAATAAAATGAGCATAGATTTTCGAAACAGATCAAAGCTAATAAGCCATCTCGTCGAATATTGACCCTAAAAAGCTGTATACACGTGTAAGTTTCTTGCAGAGTAATGGTACCCAAAAATTAGATTCTATGGCGCTTCTGCGAGCGTTCTTGAATGTTTAGATAAATAAATGTACGTGTAACAAATGTACTCAGATTTGTCATCTCTTTAACACTAGATTTACGGAGCACAAAAAACAGCTGTTCTATATCAGTTTATAAAAATAACAATAAGACATTTATTGTGATTTTCAACAAGTGTTATTGTAACATTTGCCATAAGTAACATATAAATTGAGTAAATAGCTCATAAATGTATCTTTACGATATAAATAATCGTGAATTAATAGATTAGCGAACCGTCATTTTTACGGGTTTCCTGTTAGGAAACATCTTACTTTCGATTATATCGTTTATTTAATACGATACTTAAGTTTGTTAATGTAAATCAACGTAAAGTAAAAATCGATAAAACACATATAAGATTATAAACTTCCTGTAGAATGTTATCGAGCCAATAATTTATGTAATATTCTGTGAGTAGTCCGTTACATATAAATGCAGTAATTACAACTTATTCAGTTAACACCCAATTTGTCATACTTATCTGCAACTATAGAATAAGAATACAGATGTACCATTACCTTTGTAAGCAACTGTACGTTTCAGATTTAGAATATCGTAACGATTTACGTAAACGAAACAAATTCCGCGAATATTATTTGAACGTTGATTCCCGCGACATCACGGCCGTACGTTTAAAACAACTTGTTATAAATATATCTGCGTTTATAGCCGTATCAATTTATCGTTAGCATTTCGGCTTCAATAATTCACAAGACCGTTGAAAAAGTTGAACCTCTGCACGGATGAAAACGAGCCGTTAACAGCGGTTAACGTTAACCGGGGGCTGTCTTTGTACGAGCCGGTGTAATAAAGAAAAAATCTGACCGTTCCCTTTCTCCCCGTATCGCATCCTTGAAAAGCGTAGTCCGTCTTAATCAACCCAAGATGCATCAAGACCTCACCACGGAAATTAAGTCGCGCAAAGAAGCAGCGAATAAAGAGAGACCACGAAGATAAAATCCCGAGGTAACTCGCAGGATTCGTCGGTGGTGTTTAATATCCCGGGTGCAGCATGGTCGCGCGTTTAGGGCGCTTAATGAAAGGGCGTCGTCGTCGTCGTCGTCGTCGTTGCCGCCGCGCGCGCTCGCTCGCTCGCCTCGCCGGCCCTCCTCGAGATAAAGAAGAGGCGGCGGAGAAGACGTCGTCGAAAATGGAGAAAGACCATCGCGGGGAGGGAGGTCTCCGGCACCGTGGAAGGAAGGGGAGGAGATGAAGCGAAAGAAAAGAAATAGGAAGAAAAAAGGATGGGCAAAAGAAAAGGAGAAAAAGAGATACCGGCGGCCAAGCACAGGGATGGCGGAGGGTGGCCCGTGGGAGAAAAAGGGGTGGGTGGAGCGAACGAGAAAGAGGAAGCACACGCCGCATTCGCACATTCACACTCACCTGGATACGTGCCTCAGGCAATCCAATCTTCTCGGCGAGACGCTCCCGTGCAAACACGTCCGGGTAATGTGTCCGCTCGAATTCTAAAACGAAACCAGTTTGCAACAAGTGCTCGTTATTAAACGTGCCTCCTTCCGTGGATCTGTTCGCGACACACGATCTCGCTCTTTCTCCCGATCTCTCCGTCCCGCGCACCCACACGCGCGCCCGTACCGCGTGTATACAGATTATTAATCGCGCATAATTTTGAATCACCACGAGACAAGATTAAAAGGATAATTATCGACGATACTCGGAAGCCCGGGACCGACTTGAATGGCTGCGGATCCAATTATAGCTGTTATAAAGAGCGCTCGCGTGCGCTCGCGTTTCCCAATACTCGAGAAAACTCGATATCCGTGGAAAGCAGTAATTTACTTGTACGAGTACGCGCCAGATCGACCGATATTTATGCCGTTACTATTACCGCCCCCCGCGGAATGGAATCCATTTTACTTCGGGGATGAAAGTTTATTGCGTCAAGATGCTTCTCTAGCGCCCGCGCGCGTGACGATTCGAACGTTCGCGTAGACGTGTTTGGTACCGATCGTTAATACAAACGAACAGCGATGGAATATAGAGAGACGTGGATAATTATTTGCCTTAACGTCGTCGAACTTTATCAAATTATTAGGTTCTTTGGAAAGTAATTTAATTCTGTAAGCGTGTTAAAAAATACGTGACTTCTACGAGTATGAAGTTTCAAAGCCATCAGAAGAATGTCAGAAAGTTATAGAACAATATATCGTTGAATAATATTTACTTTAAAAATTAAAAGAATCGTCTTTCATCTTCTCGCAAAAGAACGGAGTTATTTTTCGTATACATTTCGTATACATTTTGTATTCGGAAATATCGAAAAGTATTCGCGCGAATGGCTGCTCTATTTCCTCTTTCTTTTCATAATTTTTATCTCTTTGTAGAAAATATTAGCGATAACGGGCTCGTGTCGTTAAATCTCGAAACAAGTAATTTAATTATTTAATCCCCTGCACTATAGGATTTCTTTCACAGCTACGTTGAAATTGAACACTTCTTCGTCCTTAATAATTTTTCTAGCAAAACACAACAATTATTGATTCTTGCAAGTATGGCTTCTATTCACTTGCATTCTATAGATTTTGATACCGGAAGAATCAAGTTTTGTTTCGATTTAAAAAAGAAATGAATAACATTCAAATTCGATAGATTCTGTATGAAATCTTCATCGCGAGTCTGACTCGTTATTATAGTGCAGGGGGTTAAAGAACACAAAATCTACACACTTTTCCTCTTGAGTTACATTTAAGGTTGTCACGGCTCGTCTAAGATCATGTAATTTTACACGATTTCAAACGGAACGAAACAATCGCCAGACCCAAGGAAATACAGGTGTGTGCAATGTAATGTCGTTATGTGATTAATGTAATTTCTAACCTTTCTCGAGGCTGTCGATTTGTTCGTTCGAAAATGATGTCCGGTTACGCTGCAACTTCCGCTTTAACCTCAATCGTACCTGCGAATCTTCGTCACCAGACGAATTATGCTCTGAATTGCCATCTGACGTCGTCTCTTGTTGATGCGACAATAAGGAACCGGTATCTGAAAACAAATTTAAATAACCCGGTATTATCATTCTACTCTCAGTTCTCATATACAGGGTGTCCCAAAAATGTCTCGAAATTTGGAAATGGGAGGTTCCTGAGGTCATTTGAAGTAACTGTTTCCTTAGCGAAAATGTAAACCGCAACTTCGTTTACGAGTTATTAACGAAAAACAGTGACCAATAAAAGGCGAGCTCGGCTGGCGCGAGACGGCTCAGCGTGCGAACCCCAGTTCCGCTCATTGACTCGGCCGACTCGCACCAGCTGGTCTCGCCTCTCATTGGTCACTGTTTTTCGCTAATATCTCGTAAACAAAACCGCGGATTCCATTTTTGCTAAGGACAAAATTACTTCAAATACACACTACACTTTCAAAATAAATTGTGAGACCTTTTTGGGACGCCATGTATTCATATAAATTGAACTATCTCGCTTAATTGTGACCGAAAAATTGTTGGTCTCTGAACGTCTGAAACTTGCAGTAAAATAGACGTTAAAATATTGTATGTGCTCAAGGCGTGAAGACAGACTCCTCAATGCTTCGACTGTTACATCGGTCACGGAATGGGTGACACAATTTATTCGTCATGCTCGAAATAAATCTTCTTTGCAATCTATTGATTAAATTAAAGTTTGTATATGTAACGAATCTTGTCGTGACTACTTTCATACTGTGAAATGTATTAATTTGATTTCGTACTATTTTTATGAGCTCTAGTGTCGCGGTCAACGTGTTAAAATGAGTGCGGGCAGAACGCTGCACGGTCAATTTACACGAAGTTAAATGAGTTCAAAACTCGACAATTTTTTGGTCATACTTAGTTCCTCTAATTTTACGGAGTAGTTTAATTAATCTATATTTGTTTCGTAACAATGTGAGCATTGAATTTATTTAGATTTCGTGCGATTTCTATTACAATGTAAAAAGAAAAATATTATTATAATATTAATATATAAAATATTATTATTCGTAATACCAGAACATGTAAAGGGAAAAATCAAAAACCAATTATTTTGCCAGGTTTGGTAGTTCTAGCATAAATAGAATCCTGAAACGATATCTTAAAACTCCTACGATAGGGCTCGGGTCCATTTGGACCCTTATTATTGTATAAGTATTATTATTCGATTATCTAGTTTTTGACAACTGATTTAAATTTTCACATGTCTCGTTAACACATTGCCTGTCACGCTAAGTTACATAATACTAATTTTTAACTAGTTTTCAAACTTCATTTTTATTGCAATATATGTATCTAAGAATAAACTGAATTTTACTAGAATGCTTAAAATGCAAAACAGTTAAAGTGCCATCCACTACGATCAATTTTAACTGTCTAGTTTCAATTTCATTAATTAAATTAGATTTTGTGGGAGATTCTGAGGTTGATCTTCGGCACTCAACGTTTTAAGACCTGCAAAAAAGCTACCGCGCCTAGAAGAGCCACCAAGATGACAAATGATTCTAACCATATTCTAATCGAAATGATCCGCAGTTTAAAGTCTAACAAATTTCGCAAGAACAATTCTCAGCCGAAATCGTGTCCGCTCAATCCCCAATGGAACCCAATATCCCCGGGAAGCAGAAAATACAGGTCGCCCGTAACGATTCCTTCGGCGATCCTAAAAATCCGCCAAAATGTCGCGAACATAGAGAAAATTTCGGGCGGTTTTCTCAAGCGTTCGAACTTTCCAGCGGTCGTGTCCAGGAGAGCGATTTAATTAAGGATCGTTTAGTCCGTGGTATCGTTCCAGTGATTCCGCAATGAGCGACGCGGACTAACGTTCTCGGGATTCCTCGACACTGAGAAGTTCGCAGTGGCCTGGCCTAGGTTCGCATAGTCTTCGCGGTTCGTGTTGGTGTGTAGGCACAGCGGGAGAAAGATGAAGAGAATGAAACGGAGATATGGAAAAAGGGAGACAGAGAAAAAGGGAGAGATGAGAGAGTGAGAGGAAGAGAGAGGGAGAGAGAAAGAGAGAGAGAGAGAGAGAGAGAAAGGGAGAGTCGCGGTGGCCGTCGTCAGTTCCCGGTGAGCCGCGATTACTTTCCGCCTCCGCGCACCGAACCCTCGCCTCTTTCCATCCCTCCCGATACCTTCCTGCCATTTCCCTTTCCCTCTGTCCGTGTCCGTCCCTCCGTACTCTACGCGTACCTATATATTCGCCCTTACGGTATATATGTATTTTCTATGTGTACCTATATATCGTCCGCTCGTCAGCTGCTCGCTTTCTCGTTCGCTCATCTCTCGCGCATCCCACACCCTCCTCCTCAACCCTACGAAATCTCTCGCTCTCCCTCTCCCTTCCCCCTTTCTCTCTTTCTCACTCTCTCTCTCTCTCTCTCGCTCTCTCTCACTCCACCCTCGGTGCCCTTCTGCGGATTCGAAATACCGCCACCCTCAAACATACACTACCCGCCGGCACCGTTTCGTCCCTCACGGTCGAAACCATCCCCCGGAATATCTCCTCCACCTCTCCCCTTCCTCCACCGCTGCTACCACCTCCTCCTCCTCCTCTTCCTCCACCCTCTTTTCTCTCCTCGCGAACACCCCCAACTGTCGCGTAACGACCGACGATTTCGGGCTAGTCCGCTCCGGGCCCACCGATCGTTGGCTTTAATTTTCTAGGTGACGACGCATCGCCGCGCAGCCAAGAAATGCTATCTGTACGCCTCGACGGCGTCGTTTCCGACGACAAACCGACCCGAACGGTTTTCGAAAACCGACGCCAGCTGTTTGTCGACACTTTTCCCCGTAGTCGAGAGCGAGCTCCTCCTAAATTCGTTTCTAACACGACCGTCACCACGCTCGAATTCAATGCACTCACGCTGTGGTCCGTGACTTTTTTGCAATGTTTCTTACCTTACGGTCTATCTGCCGACGAGTTTCTAATGCTGTCCCTTGGCAAGAAGTATTCGAACATCTTTTAAAACGCGGTTACACTTTTTTAAAACTGGACTAAACTACTTGAATCTTGTTTTGAACGTTAAAGGATCAGAATTTCCGTGCCTCCGGATTCAGAACGTGTAGAAAAAGAAAAGTTTTATATATAAATTGATGATCGATATTTTTTTATTATGTTTACATATTAACATGTAAGATTCAGGGGGAGGTATCAATTTATATTTAACACTTTTCTTTTTCTATACGTTTTTCATCCGGGGACACGGAAACCGAGAAATCTACCCTAGTTAAACGTTAGCAAGACTTTACAATGACGAAAATATATTTTTTTAGTTTTGCTATCGCTTGGAGTGACAGAAAATATAGATAACTCTCGTCTTTTAATTTCTTTATCGGAACCTGGAATGGAAATTTGAAGAATGCGTTTTGTGGATCTCAGTAACTTATATGCATATTGAAAATTTCATCGAAGTTGGTTAACATTATTTTGACTTACAAACGATTAAAGATTGTAATTTTGTATGGACTTTAATCAAAAACAGATAATTTTTACATTTTTCAGTGTGCATATAAGTTACCGAGATCTTCAAAACTCATTTTTTGAAATTTTCTTTCCAGGTCCAAATAAAAAAGTTAAATAACGAGTGCTTTTTATCTTTTTTTGTCAATCTAAGTAATAACAAAATTAAAAAATATATTTTAGTCACTGTAAAATAAAACTAGTCCTTTTAAGATTTAACAAAATTCAAGCTATTTCGAAGTTTCAGTTTCCTAGTTCGAAAACATTTTGTCAGGAGCTGTAGTTCTTTTAATAATAGCAGATCAACAGTTAAGAGAGTTTCTTGAAAAATTGTTCTGAAACTACAATAATCTCATGCATAATCCATCAGATTATTTAGATTAATACGATGTAACAGATTCTTCTGAAATAATAATTTGGAAGAACATTGTTGAGCATCTCTTAAACACAGTTCAAACATTGAAAAGTGTAATAACATTTTGTCTGCTGCATCACCCATTTGTGGGTAACGAAATTCTTTGTTCGGATTCGAAAATTAATGTTAATGCTGATGCATTATATCTTTCTAAGTTTATTAGATTCCGCAAAGTGTAAGAATGTTGAAATAGGTGCTGTTATACAACTTGACTTTTCTATTTTAATTTGATTAAATAAAGTACTTTCATTTTATGAAATTTTGTGAGTCGCGATATTTCACCCCAGAATGTTTAATTACATACGCAGAATATTCAGTTGATTTCAAAATGGCAGTTATATTTTCTACTTATATAAATACACCGCTGTTTACAAATTTCGAATCATGCCTAAAATTCATAAGTTATACAGAGTAATAAAATGAGAGATAATATAGTCGATTCCTCCCTTCGTTCTGGTAATTTATTAGAGATTTCTATGTTATTAGATTGTTCACGTCCTCCACTAGCAAATAGCACTGTTTCGATTCATTTTTAGCTAATCTAACAGTTTTTCATTTGATTACAAAATTCCTCATGTTAGGTAATTATCTCTCATTGTGACAAAACCACAAATTATTCTGACGAAAGCGTCGTTAAAACAATAATTAGACAACAGATTTTATGCATTTATGGCAAAAATGAGTAGCTGAAATATAAAATTGTGAAGACATAAAAGCAATTTAATAATATCGTTATTTTCAACTTATCTAAATTATCGACAGAATATATTTATATTTAATTTTCGTTTGTTGAAATTGTTCTGCACATTCCCAAAATAGGTCCGCACATTTAGTCCAATTTCCCGACTTTCGCCGGAAGTTGCCCCGTTCATCAAATAAACATTAATCATACTATTCATGCTCGTATCAATTGTCGACGGAATATTTTCCGGCGGACGCGATACCAATACGCGAAGAAAAGGAAACATATTCGGGGAACGTGTCGACAAATCGCAGTTTATCATCCGTAAGCTCCATTAACAGAATTGTTGCCGTTCGTAGCACGTACTTCAGGGGTCCCATTCGCTTTCACGCGTTCGAAGAGCTATACAATCAGACAAACGCTATAGAGGAATCCGGTCTCAATAGTTGATCCACTTCTTCTCATACAGCGGCGGCGTCGGCGGCGGCGGCGACGGTACAATGCTCGAAAGAAGGTAGAAGTCAAGGGAGCACCCTCGAGGTATTATAATCTGTCAGTACGCGCGTCATTCTCGCCGCGTTCTTACACGAGCCTTCAGCGAACCGGCGCATTGTGACGGTTTAATTCTACCACGGTGTGCAACCATTCGACCCGGCCAGTTTATAGCCGAAGAAAGGAATACCTGGCGGACGTGGTTCGAAACGTCTCTTCTAATAGGATCACGTTAACTGGTCGGGCTGCGGTCCAGATCCCGCCTCGAAATTGCTGCGCGGATGACAATTCCGTACGTGACCGCGGTCGATAAGCAGATTACGAAAATTATGGCAGATGGACGGAGCGAGGTTATTTTCGTGAATGGGAACTTCTGAATCAATAGGATTTTCATCACGAGAAGATACTAGATTGTCGGCGGGACATTGTAAAACGCTACCATAGACGCGGTCTCGGGAGTTAACGCGATCGGGGGTGCGAATCAGGGGTCGGGAACAGTTATGGTGGCGGTTTCGGTTCAGGAAACAATTACGGAGAACCAAAAATGTCTCGTACCTGGACTGCGGGTTTTATGCATTTGTGAAGAAATTGTGCTCGGGAAATTTAAAACAATAGGACGATTAAACGTATTTAGAGACGCCGATGTATTATTGCGGATTTATTGAAATTGTTAAGCAAGAAAGAAATTTCTATTTTCTTTGTATTTCTTGCTATAAATGCGGACAATTTTGATTTTGCATAAAAATACGCAGTTTGTGGGATTTTTTTCGGTTCTTCATCACCGTTTCGATCAGAGCAATTCCTAGTACGAATGCGTTTAAGACTTAAACGTGAAACTCTTAAATCTGATCAATTTCATTCCAGAAAATAGGAAAGATTATTATTCATAGACACTAGATTTTATGCAAAATAAAAATTGTGTGTACCAATTGTGAAAACAGAAACTAAATAGCATGTTCACGCTTTCTGTAATAAAATCATTTTCATAAAGTAAAAATAATACACTGACATCGTATAATTTTTTAATCTCCGTATCATTTTATAGTGCAACTACCCAATTTTGCCATAAATAGATAAAAGTCACAATCTAGTTGTACCATCGACATATTTTCTTAATTTGTGTATGGAATGGAATTTATTTTCACGTTATGTGTATATTAAACTGATATTATAAAATAATTAACAATGTTGCAGAAAAATATTAATAGTATGATGTCTGCTCATGTCCTTTCACCAAATGTGAAATAATATAATTGTTTGTTATATGAAAGTTGTACCAAAATTTAAATAGAATGACGAAATATTGCAATATCTTTGACTACAAAATTTTCTCAACACTAGGGGATGATTGCACCCTCCAAACAAATATACTCACTCTGCACCAGAAAATAAAGCAAACATATTTATTTCTATGTTACTTTCTTTATGCATATAACGATTTTTTAAAATTAAAAAAAATTAAAGTATATTATATAATTAAATTGGAAATTAAAGTATCTTTCAAGTTAAATATATGAATAATTATGACGATAAATGCTTGATTTGTTCAATAGGATGCTTTTTGTATAATTGGAAACAGTTTTCTATAATATCAACAAATAGAACAAACACACACATTAATAGTAATATCATGTAACTCTAAATTAATATTAAAACTATCTAGAACGAAAAGACTGCGTTTATTTAAACTTGATGCGATTTCTATCGTAGTAATGAATAAATCAATTTATTCAGTAATTTTCTACGAACACATCTTTGCAGTCCTAATAACTACAAAACAAATCATTTCTGTCACGTTCGTGTTAATTTGCGGTGTCTTAATCTCTCTGTCTAGTTCCAGCCTGAGCCACATAATTGCAGTAACGTTAAGAAAAGTGTATGTATCAATTTTGTATCAATTATCATATTTTTCTCTCAGATAAGAAACCCTCTCTCTCAAGATTTCAAAAACGCAGAGAGTTAAAGTCGGTAGCTCCATCGAATCAATGTCTAAACTACTCAATTATCTTGTATAGTAATATACAGGATGCGGAGAAAATTCTGTCCCTTTATGAAAAACGCTTCTTCTCTACAAAAGTTCGCTTCCCAAATCTCCTTCGTTTTTCGAATACTTGATGTTTTTTTTCACTATTTATTAGTATCGTTCATGTACGTTTCTATCTTCTTTCATAATTATGCGTTACAATTATTGAATTGCTCAAGGACCGAATAATAATAATAATATAAAATATAAAATAACTACTGAAGAAAGAAGGTAGAAAAGCCGGTAAAAAAAGAATCAAAATTATTGGAACCAGAAGAAGGTCTCCCATCGATCACTGAAATTAACGAATGAATTAAAACCAGCTTTGCAAAACGCGTGTAATGAAATCATGATCGTCGTGACTAATTTTCAAGAAAAGCTCCGAAAATGTGTTAAAGCAGAAGGAGCAAACTCTGAACACTTAACGTAACTTTCATCGTCCAATGTTGTTATATATTTTATTGTAAAATATATAGAACATCAAATCGGAGAGTCCTCGTCTCCAAATCAGCTAAGTATAAATATAGAGATATAGAGAGAAATATAGAGAGAGAATATTTTCCGCACCCTGTAAGCAAGAGGTATAGTATAAAAAACGATAAGAATATCGTGCTACTACAAAATATATATGACCGAAGAGATAAATAAATATTCATATGACCGAAACTCACCGCTTCGTTTGAGCAACGAGTCGTCGCGTCCATGAAGTTGGCTGCCGGGTAGTAGCGACTGGCCAGAACCAGGGGTTGCTGTCGTTGGAATTCCAGTGGCCAGAGGATGATGAGATGGCGTAGCGGAATACCATGCCGGTGGCCAACCTGCAGCCTGGCCATTGAACATCCGAAGCTTATCGTAGACACTCTCGGCACCCTGATGCGCCTGCACCGCTGCCGCCTGTTGCTCTTTCTGCGAGGCCAGGTTCCTCAGCACCCTGTTGATGGACGATACCTGTGGACAGGGGAACGACGATCATGATGAATGAATGTTAAATAGACTGCATTATTACAGTGTCGAGGAACTTTTACGCTTCCGACGGTAACGTGGATTCCAATGATCATCAATCATTAGCGGGCCATCGACACAGATTTTCCCGAGTCGGCCCGCTACCCGGAAGCATCGGGAAACCGGCGAAAGAAATATTATTGCGGCATGGAAACGCGTGACACGGCTGTCGATGCCACGGAATTCCACGTTAGAGGTTGAATCGCGGGCTGTAAGCATCGATTACGGCTGGCATAACAGCAGAAGTCAGGCACTCTCGGCTAATTCATTAAGGCCGAAGGAAACACGTTTGCACGCAGCGGCAATACCCATTACACCGATAGCCGATCGGCCGATCGATTCCCGCGAATTCCAAACATCGTTCGCGCTCAATTAAGACCAGGAGAACGATGTAAAACGATCAATCGTGATCGTGGCGCGTCGATTCTTTGAAAAGTTCCGCGAGTTCTTTGGCCACCGGCTGACAATCGTTTCTATCGTTACATCGGTTTGTCTCTGGCTCGCCAGGCCCGACCACCGCCGAGAGCTTCTTCCTTTCTTTCTCTTCCGACGTTCGCGTTCGCCGAGAGAAACAGAGGGAGAAAGAATGAGAATGAGAGAGAGAGAGAGAGAGGAGGGGTGGAGGGGGTACCAGATGAAAGGACACCGCCATCCAATTATTATTACATAAAACGGTTTCCATGGCTCTTCGCTCCCCTAACCAACGGCAGCACGGTCTTCTTCACCTTGTACCGCGACCGAACCACTGGCTAACTCTAAAGTTATAACGAGCCACGGGGGCGAGCCTTGTGCTCTCGAGTCGCGCACATAATAGTCTCGGTGTTCTACGTGGCCTCCGCCCCTCGTACAGCCCTCTAACATCGACGTAGACGGTGCGCCAAGTCGAACATAGCTGAACCGCGCGCTCCCATGGAGGCAAACCAGCGAGCGGATGGAGGATATCGAGCGGAGCTTCTTAATTACGGGCTCCGTTGAAAGGTTCGACGAGAGAGCGAAAGACAGAGAGCAAGAGCAAGTGCAAGTGCACGAGCAAGTGCAAGTGCAAGTGCAAGAGCCGAACCGGAGAAAGAGAGAGAAAGAGAGGAAGGAGGCACACGAGTGCAAAGCCGATCCTTCTCGCGTGGCTCGACTTAAGACCGATGAAATAATGGCTGTACCCTGTCGGGTGCCAACGACGTTGTTGGTTCGAGTGGCTGCGTGCGCCGTGGCGGGTCAAGAACGCTCGAGAGGGGTCCGCGTTATTACGCCGAATGAAAGCCGATAAATTCAATCGCGCTCTCTGTTTTCGCCTGTCCTCGATGGGGGATATCCGAGTGCTCGAGAGGCTCGAGTAACGCTTTATAATAAGCGAAACAACGCTTTGCGCGAGATTTGCACCGGCAACAGAATCGTTGCGTAACACGAGGAACGACCGGAGCGCGCCCGGAAGAACGGGGGCGGGAAGGGTGGGGCAGGGTTATCGGCGACGCAAGGATAATCAGTCGGAATCGAAGGGGAACAAATCTCGAATTTTCCGTTCGATCGGAGCCGGATTCTCGGGAACGGTGCAGCCAGTTTCTTAGGAAATTGCCGTGGCAGTTACGCGGAACAGTTCCAAACAAATGCAATCCCGCGACGCTGCGTAATACCTTAACTGGAATCAATTCGAAGAGAATGGTCGAGCGAAGGGGTGCGCGGCGACGGTGGTCCAAGTGGACGAGGGCGGACGGGATGGCGGCGGGAGGGACGGACGGGGGGGGGGGGGGAT